CAAACCCACCAGCCACTCCTCGGAAGGAAGGTTGGGCATTCCTACTTCCGTAGTGATACTGCCTCGGAAACCCAAGGAGGGGTCGCTATGAGTCAGGGCCAACTCGACGGCAAACAACAACAACAACAACATATGACTACATATACATTATCTATCTCTGGAAAGATTCACAAGAAATGAATAATATCAGTGAACAATAAAACTGGTTGCCTCTGTGGAAGGTTCAAACTATCTCAGAGACATAGATGGGAAGAAGAATTTTCACTTGTATACCTGTTAAATTAGAAAATACATGAATATACTAGTTACTAAAAAAATAATTTAAATGTAAAGGATAAATGAAAATGACTCAAAATTATACATCCCTCTAAGCAGTCTAATATATTTAAAAAGAGTTTCCTTATTTTTTAAATATCTAAACATTAATACAAAATTGTTAAATTAGGAACAAATGAACAAACCTAAAATATGGCACATCATGTGGTGACTGAATTACTTGACCTTCATTTATCTCAAGTAATGGGAGGCCATTTGAATTTGTAGTCATAGCTTCATTTTTATTTAAGACATGTTCTGTAGATTAAAAGAAATTTACGTATAAATTTCAAAGCAGCTATTTCTAAAATTACACCCCACATAAAACGATAAAAAATTTTAAATCTGTCCATGTTTTAAAAAGCATTCACAGATTTTATTTCTGCTTTAGTGATTTCATTCACAACATCTCTGAAGTCTCTCTCAGTATTCTTTCTCTCTCTAATTTATATTTATTTTCCCCTTTTCTCATTCTGTGTTCTTCATTCCAACTTTCTCTCTCTCCAAATGTCTTTACCTATGTTTTTGCATCTTTTCTGACCCTGAGGTAACCTCCCTTAACTATATGGCGAAAAACAGCTCTAAATATACCTCCAATAAATCATAATCCAGAAAAGCATATCTAATTAAAATACTATACCTTTATTCCAAACTGTTGGAGAACCCACAGGACACTGTACTGTATTTGAATCTTGCTGTACTATCTCAGTAGACTGAGTTCCACATTTCTGTGCCAAATTTTCATTCATTGTTTCTCCAGTCATATCACTAAAAATAGCAAAAAATACTTCATGAAACACAGAACCCCGTATATCTGAGGGATTTTGAAATGTGCTTTTTAAAAACTTAGAATAAAATAGCAATATGTTTCTATTTACTTTTTAAAAATATATGTGCTGGAGGGAAAAAAAGTTAAATACTTGTAGTGAGAATACCCATCTCACTAAGTATATATGAGCCTCAAAGATTCTGAAGATTCAATGGAACATATAAGCACTTAACAATGTTGGATACTGCTGAGCAGGATGTAGAAAATGTGCTGTTAGGCAGCCGTTGTAAAACGACCTTGCCTTTTCTTTTAAACACCCCAACTGATTTTTTTCTGCTTTGCAAGTTAATCACTTTTGTCTTTAGAGGTAGCTCTTCTAAAGTTATACTCAGCAAAAAAAAAAAAAAAAAGGTTGAGCTACATTATTATAAAAACCAAACTCATGCCATCGAGTCAGATCCGACTCATAGTGACTCCTCCCTGGGTTTCTGAGGTGGTATCACTACGGAAGTAGGTTGCCCAACCTGCCTTCTGAGGAGTGGCTGGTGGGTTTGAACCGCCAGCCTTCTGATTAGTAGTCAAATGCCTTAGGCACAACGCCACCAGAGCTCCCATTATTATAGCAACTTGTTTTTTCTAAAAATTTATTTTTAAGTGTTATAAAAATGCCATTTATTAAAAGTAAAAAGCAAAATCCAAAATCATATGGTGAAAACAATGCATAGGAAATATCAAAACTGTCATGATAGCCTTCTGAAGAATGTTTTAAAAAAGAAAAAGACCAAATTTTAATTATTTATAATCAACATAGCTCATTAAATAACTTTTAAAAAGCACTGATCAAATCTAAGGCCATTAATATTTTGCTATGCATCTTAGCAGTGAGTTTATTATTAAGACTACTTTCTTACACTTCTGCTTTTGAAGGAGTCCAAGTGTAACTAGATGTCAAGAAAGTATTGGCTCTTCTGGGAATCATGGATGTTGCTTGGTAGGACTTCAGACCATCCAGTGGCTGAAACATAAAATCTTTAGGTGCAAAGGAATTCTTCCCTTTCATTTTTGCAGGTAAATTTTCCTCTTTTGATAAAGTTCCATCTGGATCCATTTCATTTGTTGCTCTGGTTTGTGAATCCACTGTACTTTCTTTATTATCAACTTTAAAAGAAATGTCCTAGACGTAAGTAAACAGAGTAGATACATGGAATCAGAAGACCAGTTACATTAAACCATTGTTGATACAGGAAGAAGTTCTGGTAGCGTAGTGCCTAAGGCACTGACTGCTATCCAGAAGACTGGCAGTTCAAACCCAGCAACCACTCCTTGGAAGGAAGATTGGGCAATCTACTTCTGTAGAAGATACTGCCTCGAAAACCCAAGGTGGGGTCGCTGAGTTGAAACCGACTCAACGGCAGTCAGTTGATTTTTTTTTGAATGATACAGGAAGAGAGAACTAATTCTTATTAAAGGACTAAAGAATGTATTTTAGATATTATAACAACTTTAAATACATGAAAGCTAAAGAAGAAAATTTTACTCAAATAATAAATACGCATTTTTTTTACTTAAATTGTATTTATAATTACAATGGTTTGAGAATCAGGAATCCAACCCTTACTGAATGATTACTATGTCATGGACTGAATCCTTTTTTAAAATGCTTAATACGTAAGCTAAAATATGTCTCAATGTGACACAATATGATTAATCACATAAAATATGAAGCATACTTTCCTTTTCAAGTCAATTTGTTACTTAGTATTTAAACATAATTTTTAGAGAACTGTAAGTTTCTGATTTTTAATGACAAATGGACTCAAACCTAACATAGTCTTAAGTAACATGTCTTCAAAAAAAGTTTACAAACCTCCTTTGAGTTTTTACATAGACACCAATACATTTTAAGGTACCGACCACAGAACAATTATGTTGCTTTCAAAAGGAATCAAGTTCTTACATGGAACTGAATTTAGTTCATATTAAGACTTTCATTGCTCTTAAGAATTTAACTTATACTATTGTGCCCAAACAAGTGTAAAATATACTAGCCTATATGTTACAAACAAAATGGAGTGGGAAAGAAAAGGGGTGCAAACAAGTGTAAAATATACTAGCCTATATGTTACAAACAAAATGGAGTGGGAAAGAAAAGGGGTGCAAGGTTGGAGGAAAAGATAAGAAAGACAAAACTTTCATTTTTAAAAGATTTATTCCTCAAATAGCATCTCTGTCAAAAGTCAGGCAAAGCCTGTTTCAGTAGCCCATAGAACAGACATCAAACCATTTCAGGGAGTCAAATCCAATGAAACAAACAAGCAGTAGATTTCACTTCCACCCAAACATAGTTGCATGAATAGAAAATGTCATTAAATTATGTTATCGATAAACTCCAAAGATTCTGTTATGGTCCATTTAACAAACCACACTTCTAAACTTTCCTGGACCACATAGCACAGTGATTTCTAATAACGACTGACAAGCCATAGCACCACTTTGACAAAATACAGTCCTTGGCTTGGCAATCTACTCCACAAAAATCAGCCATTAAAAATCTCATGGAAGACAGTTCTACTCTGATACGCATAGGGTCGCCATGTGTCAGAACTGACTCGATGGCAACTGGTTGGTTTGTATTTCTACTTAAAAACAGCAGGGATAGAATGGGCATTTGTCACCCAAGGCATCTAGAGATGGGCACTGGCATACTGTCCATTATGGTGACTCCAACTTATCTTCTCCACTTACCCAACAGGCAAAGCAAGAGGCCAGCTCTCAAAAGTAAAGTTACTCTTCTTCCTATTCTATTTGTGTATCTTATATTGTGTTTTCATACAATCCTATTGCGGCCACGGGGATAAGTACACACACCTGTTTCGACAGGCAAGCACACGGTCCCCCTCAAGGCAGAGTGCATTTTCAGAGCCAATCCTTGAGATTCCCAAGACAGAAAATCAAAACTGAGAAAGCTGCAACATGCTTAAAGATGAATCTAGGAAGTAAAGGTTCCAGGAAACCTCTATCTCTTCGGTGTAGGTAAGGAATGTGGTAGAGTATTAAACATGGGAGAGAACCACCAGCTAAAGATAAGTAAACTCTATCTTCTAAGGCAAATTATCTAGTTTTGAGTTATTTCGTTTGCATTTTATTGTCTAAACCTTAATTACAAGTTCCTACAGGGAATTCAGGACAACAGTTAAAGTGGTAACACTGTCCTTGAGGCCAGCACGGCAGTGAAAGTTAAAAATTAGTGATAATCCTTCAGAGGAACTATGAGGTCCAGCTGTTTCATCTATAAATATTTGCCCTGTATTGTCTTCCTTGGAGGAGCTTTGTTTGATTTTTAATAAAAATCTAGCCATATTTCTTAGACCTTTTTAAGGTTGAGGACCTATAATACAAGGAACTGGATTATAATACAAGGAACTGGATCCTCAGAAACATAAGCTTATTTAATTCTTAAACCTATATATAGGTATTCTGTACTTCCTCTAGGTAGGGATTTCCATGTTAGAGATAAATTATATAACTTGTCCAAGTTTATACAGCCAGTTGGAAGCAAAGAGAATATTCAAACCCAGGCCTAACTGAATCCTAAGTCAATGTATCTATCCTACTAATTCCTACATGAGATTTCTCCCAGGTGTGCTTTATTTTTCTCCATCTTCTGTTAACCAAATTATGTTTCCTCTACTTCTAAACTCTTGAGGATAAGATTGTCTGAAAAACAGCAACAGTAAATCATCTTGATGCTTCCTTATGATTCTAGAGTTTTTAATACCATATAGGTTATTAACATCTTGAAGTAGTTTTGTATGCTCAATTTAAACTTTATAAGAGCAGCAATGAGATTTTCAAAGTTTCTAGAATTAAATAAATATGTATACTCTACCTTGTCAGGTTTTATTTCTATCTTTTTGACAGGTCTTCCTTTATTTGGTGATTTTCTTTCTAGTTCATTACCTAAAATAAAAATGACATAAGATACCCATTTGACTAGATAGAAAATGCTGCATTAAAAGTACTGAGTAATTTGGGAAAGGAAAAAAGCAAAAGGTATGCATGTCTTGAAGAATTTTCATAATTAAAAGCCATATTTATAAAGCAGAATAAAAACAGGTTAAACTGCTGACTAGATAGAATAACGCCACCCGTTTTAAAAAACAAAACACAGGTGTTTTACCTTTTTTCTCTGAATACTAATTATATATTAGGGAAAATATAGAAAAGCACAAAGAACTACCAACACCCAACATTCCACTCCTCAGTAACAATCACTGTTGGCATTTAGGGTAGGCTTTTCCAACTTCTCCCCATGTTCACATATTCATGTATTATTTACTAGAATTATTATCATATGTTCAGAGTTTAACCTGTTTTTCTTTTCCCAGTTAAATAAAGCATGTGTCATTGTTTTGGTTACCTTTAGTGCTGCTCTGACAGGAATACACCACAGGTGGAATGGCTTGAACAAACAGGAGTTTATTCTTACAATTTTGGAGGTTAAAAGTCCCATGATCGGCAGAGCACGGCAGGCTGCTGAACGAAGACTCAGCTACATGGAGGGTTCAAGAGTGCCAAAAAGCTGGAGACCTTCCTCAAAGCTGCTTCTTACATACAGGAAGCCACCCACATCCCTAAAGCAGTTACTAAGGTGCTCCAGTAGATTCCACCACAGAGTTAATTACCAATCTCACCATAGGGAATAACTACATCCAGCTACCCAGCCACTCAACCAGGCCCAGCCAAGCTGACAGCTTTAACTACCACAGTCATCAAGTGTTGCTTTACAACACTGTTCTTAATAGCTGTATAGTATTCCACCAAATGGATGCACTAATTTTTTTTGCCCATTCATTTTTCCCTTTGAAGCATACATTGCCTACACAAATTAAGGTACTTCAACATTTGAGAATTGTGTGCTAATCACCATCCTACACGTCAAGGAACAAAACCTACCTTCAGAAATTAGAATTTCCCATTTCCTCCTTTCCTACTCAAAGAAGTACTTGCTAATATTAACGAATGAACACAAAAACCTTAAGGACCAAAACATTCTGGTTTAGTCACTAATGAAGGAATAGTTCTTACCTTTAGTAGCTCTTGTGATGGGCTTCTTTATAGTAGTGGGACATGAGACAGTTCTGGCAATTTGGTTTGCTGATTGAGTAGCTGATCGAGTCATTCTCACTGCTGTGGGGACTGTAAATTGTACAGCTGTGGAAAAATATCAAATGCTATTTATAATTATTAAATTATTTCTGTGGCAGCATCAGAGCTTATAATAATTGCTGATATTCCTACCTTTTGTCTCTCTGTCCAACACTTTCCTTTCAGAAGTTGGTCTTTGACCCAGTTGGATTGTTGGAACATTCCCGTTATCAATCTATTTAAAACATTAAAAGCTATGTGATTTAATTGCATAATGAACCAAATCACAGTTTTGATCTATAAGTGCCCTTCATCTGATATCTCCCAATTATAAGTGACCCAGCAAAAAAATCCCCTACTCCATATAAAATGAGGTAAACAAAAAAATTTCTATTATGTAAATTTCTTTATATCCTTTTCAGAATCCTAAAATTTAGGAAATGCTAACATACCAAGCAATTAAAATAACTGACTATAACCTTGAGGGTCCTTAAATACAAACACCCAAGGCATGGTCTCACTTCAGGGTCTTTGAATTTAGCCCAGGAAGTTCTTATTCTGGATAGAAAGTGCTTCCCCATGGCTTTATGAAAGAATAAAGACTTTCTTTAAAATGCCACTCTCTCCGTGAATCCTCCCTGACTACCCCAACGAAATTCTACCCCACCTCTACTTCCTGCACTCCTCATCTCCCTTCTCTTTTTTTATCCCCTCCATAATATGTATGATCATCTGACATACTATGTATTTATTTTTTTTAATGCAACCTTCATGACCACAGGGAATTTTGTTTGCTTCACTCCTGCACACCAGAGCCTGGAACAGAGCCAGGAACGTGGTAGTGACTCCACATCTGCTGACTGGCTGAAACTTAGCTTCCTCATATGGTGGAGAATACTATTTCCCTCCTTGCCCACTTCACTTCAGCAACCCTCCAAATCCACCTCTATCCATAATGTATTTTAAAAACCCACAAATTTATAACACCCATATTATATGCTTCACATCCCTGGTATCTTGGGACCCATGATGGTAGCCCAGTAAATGACAAAGAGCAGTGATATGAAAACAAAGTTTGGCATATATCTCATAAAGGATGTTTGGGCAAAGAATAATCTAAATAAATATTCTAGTAAAAAATGACTTTATTTTATCATACCAATACTACCGATTTTGGTCCCTGTTAACTCTAGTAAATTAATTACTACTCTTGAGATGGTATTAAGTTAAAAATGAATTTACTTAATTTGAGGGAAAAAAGTACAATTAGTCATTTTAGTAATAAATTATCCACTAATTATTAAACTATACCTTAGTCTGCTCAATTTGTTCTTTGGCCTTTGACCTCGTAATCCGTACAGAAGATGTAACAGCCTAAAAACAATCAAAATACAAAGCTTAGAAAATGGTAGAACTGGCAAAAATTTTACTTCCAAGTCTGATGAAAAGAGGTTCCCATTTTAAAGTTCAATTTTCTCTTTAATCATAGCAAAAAAGATACTTGCTAACTTAAGTTTTTATTTTTCCTAGTTCTTAGCTTGGTTTAAGTTTAAGATAATAGGTTCAAAATTTTCTCCATGAGGAGACAGAAGAAACTTCAAAACCTATTTTCAAGGTATTAGAATCCACATTAATATGATTAGCTGGACACATTGGGGAGGAAGTCGGTAAGCAAACTAGAGTCCTAGGATCTTTTGTTCTCTTGTTATAAAAAGATATTTATCATATAGTTTCCAAGTGTTGACAATTTGGTTTCGATCTCATAATTATTCACTAGTCCACTGTCACTAAGAAAATGAAGACCAAATCTCAGTGAAAGAAACTAGGGTGAGGCATTAGTTGTTCAGCGGTAGAATTCTCGCCTTCTGTCCTGGAGACTCAAGTTCAGTTCCTAACCAGTGTACCTCATGCATAGCCTGTCAGTGGTGGGCTTGTGTGTTATGATGCTGAAGAGGTTTGAGTGAAGCCTCTATACTATAAGACTAGGAAGAAAGCCCTGTTGATCTATTCTGAGAACCCTACCGATCACAATGGTCCAATCTGCAACTGATGATGGGGATGGCCCAGGACCAGGCAGCATTTAGTTCCATTGTACATGGAATCATCAGGAGTCAGGGGCCAACTCAAAGACAGCTAACAACAAAGAGATAGAAACTAGGTTTCTCTCTAGTATATAAAGGAAGACAAAATTCAGCAATGGTTCCCTGTGTCAAGTAGAATAAAAAACAATTATTGGTGAATTTTATTAGTTAACACAATGATGTGCCTCTTTTTCCTCTACATATAAAACATTTTTAGAAAAATTATTTACAGTTTAGGCCAGTGATTGGCATCCTACATATTCTTGAACACCCAGCTTTAATCTTACCTCTTTTAAGAGGTTTTCTTTGATGTTCTTCTAAACAGAAATAATCTCTTCCTTCTCTAACATCTATAGAATATATCTTTTACCTTGAACTATATTCTATTAAATTTTTTCTCCTCCATATTCTCCTAAGGTCATACATAGAGTAAATATTCCAAGATTTGCTGAATCAAGGAGATTCATGAGACCCAGGAAAACAGGCAATTATCTTGGGGCTCTGTATTCAATTCTCATTTAAATCATGAATGAATATACAGTCAATGTTACCTTTTAAACATATTCTTTAAAATGAGTAGCTCTTTTAAATATATCTTTAAAATAGCAAATTACCAGTAACTCCCTAATTCACAAATTCAACGGCTTCTTTTCAAACCTCCTCCTTCTCTCCTTAGATCACCTATCCTTTAGCCTATTCTGTTTTAGCTCTCCTGACACAGTCCATCTCTGTCACTGTTACCTATCTACCTGCAGATGCTCTGTAGATCCCATTCTTAGATTTGTTCATAATTTTATGTATCTGCCTTAGGTTGACCTCATTTAATCCTATAGTCTACACATACTCCCAAATCCACATCTGGGAGCTCTGGTAGCATAGTGGCTAAGGCACTTGACTGCTAACCAGAAGGCTGGCGGTTCAAACCCACCAGCCACTCCTCAGAAGGAAGGTTGGGCAATCCTACTTCCGTAGTGATACTGCCTTGGAAACCCAAGGAGGGGTCGCTATGAGTCAGGGCTGACTCGACGGCACATAACAACAACAACAACAAAGCATAGGTCTACATCTTGATTTTCAAATTTTAATTTCTAATTCCTGATATCTAAGTGATCCAAATAGGTTAAAAACAAACCAAAACAAGTTATCAATATTCAACCCACATAAACCTGTTCCTTTTTTCTCGCCTTCCTCATCTCTTTTAGCAACAGCATCATTTTCAGGTATCTTCAGGATCATCTCTAACTCTTCAATTTTCTTCACCCCCATCATCTATCTACTTGATTATCAAAACCTGTGAAATTTACCTCTTAGGATGGCTTTAAAAAAAAAAAAAAGGAAGAAACCAACTGCCCCATTTCCCCTATTCTATCACAAAAGTGTCAGAAAGTTCTCACATTTATAAAGAGGTTTTCTTCTCTGTAAATACTTCCCTTTCCATACTATAATCTTCAAGATCAGGGTAATCTTGAATTATTAAATTGATAATGATACTACCTCATTTAGCCTCCCTTGGCTCTCAAGAGCCAACAAAAGGAACTCTAAACCCTTAGGCATGTTGCTGCTGTTGTTATGTGCCATCAAGTCAGACCTGACTCATAGTGACCCCTCCTTGGGTTTCCGAGGTGGTACCACTATGTAAGTAGATTGCCCAACCTTCCTTCCGAGAGTGGCTGGTGGACTTGAACCCACCAGTTAGCAGTCAAATGCCTTAGGCACTATGCTATCAGAGCTCTACCCACTTGCCTAGCTTTATCCTATCTCAGCAAACCTATAGCTATGTCAAGAGACCTGACCTGCATTCTTCTGAACTTTTATGTCATTCCCACCTCCCACCACCTAATTAAGTGAAAAAAGGGGACTAAGGGGAAGGAATTATTTTAGTCATTTAATCTCTCATTAAAGAAAATTCTAGCTTAAAGGAACTATTTCCATATATGAGGTTAAGTTACTGTTATAGACTGAATTACGTCCTCCCCTCAAATATATGTGTTGTAAATCCTAACTTCTATGCCTGTGGTTTTAATCCCATTTGGGAATGGGTTGTCTTTGTTATGCTAATGAGACAGGACCAGTATAGGGTATATCTTCAATCTCTTTTGAAATATAAAACATATTAAAAAAGCAAGCTAAGAAGCAGAGATAGATGAAGAGAGATGCCAAGGCACGTTAATCTCACTCAAGAAAAGAAGTTATAAGGACCTTCCTTCAGAGCCCAAAGAGAGAGAAAGCCTTCCTCTAGAGTTGGCACCCTGAATTCGGACTTCTAGCTATGAAAAAATAAATTTGTTTGTTAAAGCCATCCACCTGTGATATTTCTGTTATAGCACCACTGGATAACTAGACAAACACTAAATTTACCTTTTTGGGCTCAGCTTTCACAGCATTTGATTTTGAAAGAGACAAAAGAAAACCAGGCATATCAGGTCTATAAAGACCCACTTTAAATATTCCTCGTTTAGCTTTCTCTCTCTGCTCCTTCAATTTTTGGAGTTGCTTTTCTTCTTTGTATTTTTGTAGCAGTTGTTTTCGTTGGTCATCTAGAACAGTTTTAGTTGACCCTAAGCAAAATAAAATGAAGCAAAAAACAAAGCACGCGGTACATAAAACATTTTAGGTAGTTACACAAACACCTTAAAAATAGTTTTGTCCAATGTTAGCTGCTGCTAAGAAATGTTTTTAGTCACTTCTTGTTAATTCTTTAGCACTTTAACCAGTTATTTCAACCTCTACTATTTTTAAGTATCCTGACTCTTCTTTCTCAACTCATGTCCAATCCATTAGAAAATCCTATCTGTTCAATCTTCAGAATATGTCCAGAATGTAACCAGTTATCTTTGCTGCAATCACTATGATCAACCATCAACTCTCACCTAAAACATCACAATAGTTTTCTAACTGGCTCTCCTGATGCCACGTTTGCCACTCTGCTATCTATTCTCAGCACAGCAAAGTGGTCCTTTTAAAACATAAATCAGATCATGTAAAAACCCATTAACCAAGTAATATCTTCCCATGTAACTCAGTGTAAAAGCCAAAGTCCTTAAAAGGATGGCCTCCAGAGCCCAATGAGATCTAGCTCCCTCGTTCATTCTTCCTTAGCCATGGTTGCCTACTTGCTTTCTCTGGAACATACCAACCCTAGCTCCACCTCTGGGCCTTTGCAAATGGAGTATAAATTAATAATTTTTTAATAGCGGTTGACTTATTTAGACTTGCATTTGAGAGACTTTGGTCATGAGAATGGAGCATTTGAGAGGGAGGGAGTAGAAGTAAGGAGTATACTTAGGAGGCAATAACATCATCTTTTCTTAGACAAATTATGTTTGGTTCTCTACTTCTGTGGCTCCCAGCCAAAAAAAAAAGACAGGCACCATGAGCTGAACATTTACACTAGGTAGATACACTCCTTGGAGAGAACAATCATGGGAGAATAGAAGGGCTGTGTATGCACAGGGAGACAGCTTGGGGGACAGGAATGCATGGGAGGGAAGGACACAGAGAAGCGGTAACTATGGGGAGGAAGTGGAAAGAGCTGTTGAATTGTGGGAAACTGCAGTCAATGTATATGTGAACTGCTATATGGAAAATGAATTCAAATCACAGTAACAATTTTAAT